TCAGGCTCTTCCTCATCCTTCAAGTTAGGGGATCTATAGCATATGCTCACTATTAATTTCCCATCTGTTTATTCCCACAAAAGGAGTGCTGAAAATCCTTAGGCAATGTTGAAGCTAGTACAAAGATATATATAAATAGTGCTCAAATGTCACTCTATTGCGCCAAATTAAGACTCTTATTATTTCAATGATTTATTCCGTGCTGCCACTTTAAAATTCAAAAAAAATATTTTAAGCATATTCCACATAGTGTATAGTGAAAATGTAGCTCAAACACTATGCAGTGTCAAAATAATAATAATACTGTTATGAGTATTTGGTAGATATTGAGAGGGACCTCAGTAACCTCTCACTGCATACCCACATCCACACACAACAAATGACATAAAAAATCAACACTAAAAAACAACACTTAAAAACGCATTAATTAATAATAAAAAGCAAAAAATTATATCACATAAAATGTATCACATAAAAAATATAATGTGTTCACTAATAAAATATTAATAATAAAGTCCACATCCAAGAACTAAATAGACAAGTCCCGTGATGAAAGAAATAATGCTCAGACAAAAATGTCTTTCCGTGCTCTGTGTCCCCCCCCACTCGGGTGTACACTCACCAAATGAATAATAAATGCAAGCAGGAAGGAATAATTCCAAATGATGAAAGCCGGGAGGTCATCCAAACATATCTCCCTATAAATTTGGCCAAACAATTCAATCCTCCATATATAGTTATTCCACTTTCAACCGTATCATGTGAAGGAAGCAAAAACAAAACTGCCCCAGTGGTGTATTACCCAATGCATAGACGTTTATTGTTTACAAAATTGCACTTACAATCTAGTATTAAAAACCAAGCCCATATAATGATAATGAAGAGGGTAGTTGGAACTGCATGGTGCTCTCACCACCATCGGATGATCCAGCGAACGCCGCCACGGCACTTCCGGTCTTCAGCACTTCCAGTATACGGACACGTCACTTCCGGTCAGCCGCACCGTCATACACTGACGCATTTCGTCATATCCTGACTTAATCATAGGGATGACGGTGCGGTGCGACTGAACACTTATAAAGTGAGCCACTAATTGCAATCAGCAGATGACTAATTACTGTTAATCTGTCTACCCCGTACTACCGGAAGTGATGCAAACTACTGTCAACTATCAAGTTACATGTAATATAAAAAATGGGCAAAATCATAACAAAATTACAAATCAATGTATAAATACTTAAATAATACATTAAAAAATAATAAAACCGTAAAATAATAATACAATAAAAATAGTACATACATTAATTGGAGTATATAATTAATATAACATATGTGAATATATATATATATATATATATATATGGTTAACAGATGTACATGATATAACATATACACATCTATAACTATATATATATATACCAATGCTGCATATTGTTCCATCACTAATGAAGCAATTAATGTCAACTTCCACATTTAACCCTCCAGGTACTACGGACTCTAATAGATATATCCATTTTGTCTCCCTAAAAAGGGCCCTAACCCTATTTGAACCTCTCCAATTTGGGGGGGAACCCAATCAACTCCCCAAAACTTAAGTACCTTTGGGTTTTTATTGTGAAATTTCGCAAAATGATCAGACAAATTGTGTTGTGAATAACCTTTTTTGCTGTTCTTTATATGTTCAGCAATTCTAACTTTAAGGGGTCTGTTTGTATGGCCAATATAAACTAGGTTACAGGGACACTCAATGGCATACACCGCATGTGTAGCGTCACATGTGATGTGTTCACGAATTGGAAACTCCTTATTACATGTACTAGAAGTAAAGGAAAACATGTTCCCTCTGTTTCCAATAGCTGTTTTGCATGCTTTGCATTTTTTGCATGCAAAAAAAAACAGTTTTAGTTGGAAACATGGAAACAGTCTTTGGTGCATCAAGAATTTTTTTCACTACTTTTTCCCTTTATATTACTAGCTCTTCTATAAATAAATGTAGGTATTGAAGGTATAACAGGTCCTAACACTTTATCTATTAACAATACATGCCAGTGTTCATAAAATATATCTATCTCTTTATATTGAGAATGGAAATCTGAAAAAAAAATCCATTGGTGCGTATTATTGATCTCCTTAGATTTGTTACTTAAGTTGATCTAGGTATATTTAATACTACTTTTATATTATAATCCAAAAATTCTTCTGAATAGCCTTTTTGTAAAAAATAGTTATTTTTGGTACAATAATACATTTTACCAACAGCGTACGCACCGAAAAAGACATTTGTCTTTTATTTTCACTGTGTTGGTCAATACAGTGACTACATCCAATCCCTTAGCCAACATTGGAGACTTCTTCATCCATGGTGTTTACCATTTTTTATTTAACTTGTTTTATTAAAAATATGAAAGTACAAGGACAAATGTACATTTGAAAAATGAGAAGTCAAAGGAACAGAGACTGGAGATACCAAGCTAAACCAGCTTAAGATAGAATTACAAGTACATTGTCAAATTGAGTAGAATAACCGTGAGAGAGAAAGAAAAAAACATACATAACCCCGAACAATGCAGGAACATTCCTGCCAGTTTGAACTGCAAACAGGTATAACCCTACATAAGTGATAAAACTTGTACATGGTCCGTTACCCAACAATTTATACAAATCTAGGAGTGAGTGAGGTGGTGGCCATAAAATACAATATATTTAGAACATCAAGGTCATAAGACCATCCCGATTTTAGTTGGAGTCTAAGATCAAAGACAGCATAGAATCGATAGTATACTGAGTATCTAGCCAGGCCCATACCTTATAGAATGTCCATGGACATCCCCTGGCCTCATATATGTTAATGTATAAACCGGTGCAGCCTGATTAATTTTTCCATAACCCAAGATGCAAGACTTCTGTACTGGTCCAGTATAAGACTATAGTTTTCCTGGCATAACAAAATAACACATGCAGAAAGTATTTTATTATAGCGCAGGTCTCCAACTCCTCAAATATGCCAAGTAGACACCATTTATGGCAGCAGACATTGGGGCGATCAAACCTATCAGCTATGAATGCTGGCACTTGTGACCAGAATTGACGGATTGCATTGCAACTCTAAACCATATGTATAAAATCCCCCTGTTCACACTCACATTTGTGACAGGTGGGAGTAGGTCTTCTATGCATAAAGAACAATAGTGCTGGTGTATAGTACACCCTATGTAAGTAGAGGAGCTGAATAAGTTTATCCTTAGCCAAGATAACATACTAGAGTACTAAAGTGTGAATTAAATAATTCCTGGCAATTTTCTGGCATATGATCTGGTATGTTCCTTAGCCATCTATTTTGCATGGTAGAAAGCTATATAGAGTGCCTGTCATTTAACAAGGCATAATATAAGGAGATAAGGCCTGTATGGTCAGAGCAAAGGAGGGCGCGTTCAAGCCTTGCATTAGTAAGGAATACATTGCGTAGACCAAATTGGTCTCCTACGGCGTGCATAGTGGAACAACCAGCGGGACATAAAGTTTTGCGTCAGAGTTGTAAGTGAGCAGTTTTATACACTGCATGCAGTCCCTGGCATGCAGGTCACATAGCAACTGCATGGGCTGTAATGGCTATAGTTATGCCCTTGGTAAGGCCAATTACCTGAGCCCTATTTAAGCTCCACTATTCCTTGCAAGTGTGTTAAATTGTGCCCATATGTTGTTTTCCCTTACTTAAAATGACAGTCTAACCGGAAACGTTTGAAAAGCTGCTAAATAGACACAGTGCTAGGTTTATTTGGGTGAGTAAATAAATTTAGAGCAGGTATCACAAGGTAGCCCCTTGGGTCTTGCTTTCCATTGAAATTGTAGCGGCTTGTTATATCACTGAAAAGATACAGTATTATAGAAAAGTGAGGCGCATTATTTGATTTCCACCTGCATAAAAAGACACCACATCCTGATTATTCAACAATTGTAAATAGTATCCAAGAGAGTAGACTTTTTGAGCCCAGGAATTACAAGCTTCTCCGGGAGAATAAGTTTAGTGTTTGTAATCGTTCCTCATAACTGAGGTCCTCCAGTCCTCTTATTAACTTTGTTGCCCTTCTCTGGAGTCTCTCCAGTTCCTGCACCTCTCTCCTGATGATTGGTGACCCTCCTGAGGAATAGTGACCAGAACTAGTTAAAAAAAAGGATCCCTAGTCAGAGTATTTGACAGTATATGGCTAGGTTAGGCAAAATATGCCGTCCTTGTCTTGCCAAAACTGGCATCTCGCTTTCCTCTCCAACTCCTGCTTTTCCCATTTGGCTCTCTTCCTCAGATTCGGGAGAACAAAATATCTATATAAATATGCATGAGTAAAGAGAATTTGTTTTAGAACAAGAAAAACAAGGAAAACGCATTGACTCCTGTTGCTTTTCTCTGGGTAAATGCACCTATCTCCTATCTCCACTCTTAACTAGGAAAACGCATTGACTCCTGCTGCTTTTCTCTGGGTAAATGCACCTGTCTCCTATCTCCACTCTTAACTAGAAATACGCTTTGACTCCTGGTAAATTCAGAACAAATGGTGTATTTATATTTGTGTATATGTTGACCAGCTCTCACGTCTAGCTGCACTCGGTTTACGACTGTAGTCTGTTTCCTAAGAAACATACCCACTATTCATGTGATCCTTATCAGCTTCTAATTGGGGTGAAGTTGAATGTTCATTTGAGCATCTCCCTATAAATTTAGATCAGCTCATGGGAGATCACTGATGGGGGGCACAGTCTCTGATGGGGGTGCTGCTTTTGATGGAGTGCTGCATTGAAGGAGTGCATAGAAGAAGCACTTAAACACAGCAGTTGAACTAAAGCAGGAGAACTTAAGCAGCAGGAAGACACAACAACAAGAAATTCTACTGCATGCTGGACAGACTACAAGCAAACACCCTGGGAAACATCTCCTACATGCCTGAGTCCCACTCCGTGTACCTTTTATAATATGTCCCCTCTTCTCCTTTTCATCCTCTGTTCCCAAATCTCATTTCTTTACCCCTCTGCTCCACCTCAGAACTTGTACATTTCCCCCTCATTGCTATCATCTGCTATCATCTCCCTACTACTGCTTTCATCACCTCCTGCTGACCCAAACACCAGGACTGGAAGGCATGTGCACCCGTGTCTCCCATGTTACTTTCTTCACCCTTCTTCTTTTCTTAACCTCTGGGGATATCTCCGCTCCTGATGGGCCACCGCCCCCGTTGGTACCCTTGCCAGCCGCTCCCGAGGTCCTGCCATCGCCCTGGAGGAGTACTGGGCGCCCTGTCCCCTGCGGCCCACCGCGGCCTCTAAGCCTCGCTACTGCCCAACATATGAACCAGGACGCCGCTGTCCGCACCAGTGAGAAGGGGAGCTACCACCACGGCCTCCCCTACCTACAGCTGCCACAGTGAGAGGAGAAGTAGCAACCACCCCCACCGGCACCAAGAGGGCAAACCACCACTACCAGATCTGCTTCCCTGCTCCCCACTGTGTATCACATAGCTGTGCCCCTGCCACCGCACAGCCCGAGCCCCGTCCAATCCGGCGGAGGCGAGCCTGCCGCGCAGCCTCCTTCACCCACTGACGCCGGGCCCCTTAGCACCCTCAGTCGCTGGCCCGCAGCATCCACATGCACTGGCCCACAACACCCACTGACGCCGGGCCCTACTGCGCCTACCAACACCTAGCCCACTCCACCTCCAGACGCTGGGCCTTCAGCACCTCCACTCATACCAACCCCCGGCTCAACTTGACCTAAAGACTTGAACCCTTGTTGAAAGCCACCACAACGAGAGACTCCTCTGCACCCCAGACTTTCACCACTCAAGCGCCCCTGGAAACCGTCCATCCACACCTGATCCCCTTCCCCTTCTCCCCTAAACTCCAGCCACCAGAAGACATATTGACGAGATACGCCTCTGCCCACTGGACTATCAACAACCAAACCTCCCACCACTCCTATCCGCCCTCCCGGGCACCTCCCCAAAATGCCTCTTCCACTCCTCCTCATTTTCCTCTCCTCTGTTCCCAAAATCCATTCTATATATCCTTCTGCTCCTCCGAAACAATTGTATATTGTGTCCTCACTGCTTCCTTCACCCATCTACGGCACCCACCACCTCCTCCTATTACTCTACTCTCCCATGACCCGAACACCTCCACTAGTAGTTTCTCACGCTCCTGCACATCCCGCTCCCATGCCACCTTTCTCACCCTTCTCCTCCTCCTAACCGCTGGGGACATCTCCCCGAATCCTGGCCCTCCACCCCCTCCCTCACCCACACAACACCCTCCCGCCTCCACGTCCTGCCGCAACCCCTGCAACTTAGTATCTGTCCCCCTGCTCCCTAAAATCTACCCCCCCCCCCCCCCCCGTTTTCATGTGCACTCCTGAACGCCCGATCGGTGTGCAACAAGCTTACCGCCATCCACGACCTCTTTGTTTCCCGCTCCCTCAACCTCCTAGTGATTACGGAAACCTGGATCCAGGCCACTGACTCTACCTCCCCTGCTGCACTCTCCTACGGAGGTCTAACCTGGACCCACTCACCCAGGCCCAACGGTCGTAAAGGTGGTGGGGTTGATCTGCTCCTGTCACTCCTCCACTTCCACCCCACCCTAAATTCCTCATACTGAAGCCCCCCCAACACTGCACACCTTTGACCTTACTACCATCGAAGTCTCCAAGATCCTCTCTGATGCCCGCCTCACCACCTGCCCCCTCGACCCTATCCCCTCACAACTCCTACGACCTCCCTCCCCCTCCATCCTTCGCTCCCTCACCCACATCTTTAATCTCTCCCTCTCCTCCGGCACTTTCCCCTCCCCTCTGAAACATGCACACATCACCCCCATACTTAAAAAGCCCTCCCTGGACCCCAATGACCCGAACAACCTCAGACCCATCTCCCTGCTCCCATTTACATCCAAACTCCTCGAGCGCCTAGTCTACACCCGCCTAAGCTCTCACCTCAACGACAACAACCTCCTCGATCCCCTACAGTCCGGCTTCCGTCCCCTACACTCCACCGAAACTGCCTTACTCAAACTCTCCAACGACCTTCTAACCGCCAAAGCTAATGGCCACTATTCAGTGCTCCTACTCCTTGACCTCTCAGCGGCCTTCGACACAGTCGACCACCCCCTCCTCCTCAAAAAAACTACACTCCCTCGGCCTCAGAGATTCTGCTCTCTCCTAGCTCTCATCCTACCTGTCACAACGCTCTTTCAGCGTTACCTATAATGCTACCACCTCCCCCTCACTCCCCCTCTCTGTTGGGGTCCCTCAAGGCTCCATCCTCGGGCCCCTTCTCTTCTCCATCTACACCTCCTCCCTTGGCCAACTCATACACTCTCACGGGTTCAACTACCACCTCTATGCCGACGACACACAAATCTATCTCTCAACCCCCCCACCTCACCACCTCAGTCTCCGCCCGAATCACACACCTACTGAGCGACATATCAGACTGGATGTCGCTCCACTTCCTTAAACTGAACCTCTCCAAAACCGAGTTTCTGGTCTTCTCCCCAGCCCGGACACCACCCCCCATTCTCCATCACATCCAACAACGCCACCATCAAACCAGCCCCGCAGGCCAGAGTACTTGGTGTCATTCTGGACTCCAACCTATCCTTCCAGCCCCAAGTCCAATCTTTAACAAACTCGTGCAGACTCCACCTCCGCAACATCGCCAAAATACACACGTTCCTAACCCCAGAAACCACTAAACAGCTCATCCACTCCCTCATCATATCACGACTCGACTACTGCAACTCCCTCCTCACTGGCCTGCCTCGCCACTGGCTATCCCCGCTTCAGTCGATCCTGAATACGGCTGCCAGACTCATTCACCTTTCCAACCGCTCCATCTCCGCCACCCCCCTCTGCCAATCCCTCCACTGGCTTCCGATTGCACAACGGATCAAATTCAAAATCCTGACACTGACGTACAAAGCCGTCCACCATACTGCCCCGAACTACATCACTGACCTAATATCCAAGTACCACCCAGCACGCACACTCCGCTCCTCACAAGACCTCCTTCTCTCTAGTTCCCTGGTCTCCTCCTCCCATGCCCGCCTCCAGGGCTTCTCCAGGGTGTCACCCATCCTCTGGAACTCCCTGCCCCAACCCATCATATTATCACCTACTCTCCTCTCCTTTAGGCGCACCCTGAAAACCCATCTCTTCAGGGAAGCCTACCCCACCCCCTGCTAACTTGCCGACCTCCTCCACTCTTCCTACCACTCCATCCCCCACAGCTATCTCCTCCTGTGCCACCATCCCCTCCCTCCTAGATTGTAAGCTCGAAAGAGCAGGGCCCTCAATCCCCTCATGTTTTGCATTGTATTGTTATTGTTCTGTCACATGTTCTGTCCCCCTTTGTAATGTACAGCGCTAAGCGAACTATTGGTGCTTTATAAATACTGTATAATAATAATAACAATATAACAACTAAAACATGTATATGGTGTAGATCTGTGGTGTAGTTAGCTACCCCTCCCACCACAATTTTTTTCTCCCCTTTAACTTTACAAGTTTGCACACATTGTTTTCCCCTCTCCCTTTTTCCCCTCCCAGTGCCCCAGCGCTCGCCCCGGGGGATCCGTGGTGTAGCTGCTGTCTATACAAGACTCTAATTCTGAGTGCAGTGAGTATTTATATCTACACATCTTTACTAGATTATGCTTGTTATGTAAAAGTATATCTGCAAATAATACTTGCTCTAAAACATATTCTTTCTTCATTCATATTTATATAGATCTTGTGTTCTCCCAAATCCTCCTGAGCAGTCTTTGTGTCACAGGGATCCTGGCTTTACTCAAAACACATTTTACTGTATTCCTAGACACAGTATTTGACAGTATATAGCCAGGTAAGGCCTATTGCCTATATACAGATCAGTATCTGTATATAGGCAATTTGCCTAACCTGGCTATATACTGTGTCTAGGGATTCTGTACTGCTTCCTCAATCTAAGCACTGAAAGTGTGATCTCTATAACCATTCTGGTTGTGGTGAGATAGCTTAACTTACAGTCTCAGTAGCTTGGCAGACAGTGACTCAATCCAAATAACATCTTGTAAATTATAGGAAAGCTTTAATCCAGACTTGTGCAGATCATAACAGATGAGCATCAGATAAAAATAAATAACAAATAAATAACAAATAAATCATAGTGCATTTATCTTCAGCAGAATGCAATACGCATGATGAATGTGAAGGCTAAAGCATGAAGAGCACCCGAGCTACCGAGTGAGATAGGGACACAATTATTAAAGGAAAAGAAACAGACATTTGATATGTAGCATGTAATATGAAACTCCCTGTCGATATCTATGATTTCAATATTGAAACAATTGAGAATCAAAAATCCATGATTAACCAATTCAATACCGGGCAATTTTACACCTTCCTGCCCAGGCCAGTTTTCAGGTTTCAGCGCTCTCACAGTTTGAATGACAATTGCGCGGTCATACAACACTGTACCCAAACTAAAATTTTATAATTTTCTTCACACAACTAGAGCTTTCTTTTGGTGGTATTTAATCGCCGCTGGGGTTTTATTTTTTGCTAAATTAACAAAAAAAGACCAAAAATTTTGAAAACAACAACACTATTTTCTTTGTTTCTGTTATAAAAGTTTGCAAATAAATAATTGTTCTTCATAAATTAAGGCCAAGATGTATTCTGCTACATGTCTTTGGTGAAAATAACCCATATTAGGATGTATTTTTTAGTTTGTTGGAAAGTTATAGAGTTCACAAACTATGGTATAGATCTGAATATTGATCAATCCTGAAGTACTGACAGCCAATCTAATTTCTTGAGGTCCAAGAATGTCAGAACAGTACAGATATCCCCCAAATGACCCCTTTTTGCAAAGTAGACAGTCCGACGTACTTCATAAGAGGCATGGCGAGTTTTTTGAAGTTGTATTTTTTTTGTCATAATTTTTCGGAAAATGAAAAAAATTAAAAAAATTAGTTTCACTATTTTTTTTTTTTACATATTGTCACCAGTGCAGTACAGCGTCATCATATAACAGGCATGGTGGTGATCAGGGACACTGACTGGTGACAGTATGAAAAAAATATACCGTATTTTCCGGCGTATAAGACGACTTTTTGACCCTTGAAAATCTTCTCAAAAGTCAGGGGTCGTCTTATACGCCGGTATACGGCATGCTGACACTTTTTAGGGGGGGGGTGCGGTGCCGCCGCCTCCCCCCCCCCTTCCAACGGAAGTGAAACTAATTACAGGGGTGGGCAGGGGCTTCTGTTTCTTACCTGGTTTCGGTCCCACGACGATCCGGTCCAGGAAGCGCAGCTGCTCCTTCCTTCAGTTCGGCCACTGGATGTTCGTGCGGCTGCTCGGCTCCGCCTCCTCACCGGTGATTGGCCGCCAGAATTGTAGCTCAGGAAAGGCACACAGGCGGCCAATCACCGGGGAGGAGGCGGAGCCGAGCGGCCCCACGAAAATCAAGTGAAGGTAAGTGTGCCGTGCACAGGTGCTGCTGCAACCATATATGCTTGCTGCAGCAGCACCATACTGAACAGGGGTCAGCAAGTGTCAGTGGGAGGAATAGTGCCCCATCATTGGTGTCACTGATACCAATGATGGGGCATTATTCCTCCCACTGACACCGACGATGGGACACTATTCCCCCCCCCCCCCCACTGACACCAATGATGGGGCACTATTCCACCCCCCACTGACACCAATGATGGGACACTATTCCTCCCACTGACACCAATGATGGGGTGCTATTCCTCCCACTGACACCAATGATGGGGTGTTATTCCTCCCACTGACACCAATGATGGGACACTATTCCTCCCACTGACACCAATGATGGGGTGCTATTCCTCCCACTGACACCAATGATGGGGTGCTATTCCTCCCACTGACACCAATGATGGGACACTATTCCTCCCACTGACACCAATGATGGGGTGCTATTCCTCCCACTGACACCAATGATGGGGTGCTATTCCTCCCACTGACACCAATGACTGGGCACTATTCCTCCCACTGATGCTAATGATGGGGCACGATTCTTCCCACTGGTGTGCATTGGAAGAGGGGTAGTCTTATACGGCGAGTATAGCCCAAACACTACATTTTAACAGGAAAAGTAGGGGGGTCGTCTTATACGCCCAGTCGTCTTATACGCCGGAAAATACGGTATATATATTTTATTTTATTTTTTTATTTTTTTTAA